AATTTCTACACCCTGTGTCTCTGAAACTAAGCATTTTAGCACATACAATTATAAGAACTTCTTTAATTATTTTTATCTGCAGAATATGCTGCTGAAGTTTCCGGAATACAGTTCGGACCACCCTGTATATCGAGAAACTATAGTTACACACGTCTAATTTGTCACTTAACACATAAATAAAGAAAATAAATTTAGATTGGAATGCCCGTCAAAATTTTGGGTCGCGAAATTGTTTTGGGTGACGACCATTGTACGTGATCTGGCGCTAAAGAACTTTCTTTTTTCTTGCTAAGAATAACAGCAAACAAAAACAGAAATAATTTTTTCTTGTCAAAGTTAAAATCTTCAAAAATTATAAAATCTTTCAAAACCTAAACCGTTCTCATTGAAAAAATTCCGAAAAGTGTTTAAAGCGTCCATTTTAAAAGTAATTATTGCTATTTTGTGAGTTTAATTTAAGTTTTATTTACTGAAACCCGTGATAATTGTGAAAAAGTGGCATTAAAAACTTAAAAAGCTGTGCTGTGAACTGTGAACTGCAAAAACCATTGTGGATCGTGGCATAACGTCGGTTTCCAATGTTTCCAAAAGCTTTGGGCCGCGACCGTTGCAAGAATAGCGCCAATCTATTATCACCATTTATTTAGGCCTTAATATCAGTTTAATAATATTCCTGTACTTTTATGCTTAGACGAAAATTTCTTTACCTAATTTTATCCTAGGCATTAAAATGACAAAAATTAATATTTTTGTGACGTTTGAAAAAAAATCCTTTTGACCGATGTGGAAAAATTACCAATTTAGCCATTTAAGGCGGCTACAGACGTTCATGCATACTTGACAAGTGTACTTGTGCAAACGTACTTGTACAAGTTTGCATTGACTCCACACAATACAAGCGCACTTGAATAGTTTTAGTCAGAGTAGGTAAAAATGGACGAAGAAGACGCGCTAGCTCTTGCGATGTTCGTTATTTTGCTTAAACAAAAAGAAAAAAACCGTCGATTTTAATGCAAAAACTGCCTTTTAAAAAGGAATATTTATTCACATACTAATATTTTAAACGAATTGAAGTTTTACCCTACTAAATATTTGTTCTTAAACTGTTTATTTTTTTACAATCAAATCGAAATTTTCTTGCAATTTTTTAATTAAACTTTTACATGCAGCCTCTCTTTTGTTTTTATTATGATAGTCCTTTGATTTTACTTGCCATAAACAAAGAGATTCTCTATAAATACTAATGAACTCCACCAATACCTCCCTCATACTTTTTTTATGTTCACTAGCCATTTTAATCTATCTTCTAGTAACAAACAAATAAGAACCAAGCAATAAACCTACTAGAATCAACTTCAGGCTTGCGCAAATTTGATACACACGTTCATGCATACTTGCGCAAATCACTGGGGCATGAAGAAAATTCGTATGTACAAGTCTATGCCACTCGTACAAGTCGAAATACTTGTCCTATACAGTTTGTTCCTACACACGTTCAAAATTCCTATACAAGTACGCTTACACAAGTACACTTGTCAAGTATGCATGAATGTCTGTAGCCCTCTTTAGGATAGGACTTTAATTGGAAATAATTTCTAATTATTTGGAAATCCGATTTAAATAATGTTTCTTCTGTTAAAATCTAAAAAATCTGATTGAAATAAAAAATCTTATTTTTTATAGTTTTTTTTTCAAAATCGTGATTTTTACCAACCCCGCTGTAAAACCTCGTTTTCCAGACTGAAATCATGTATTGTTTTACGAACAGGTTGAAATAAATAAAGTTTATTGGTCTGTTGTGGTAAAGTAGTGTAATTTTCTGCTTTAACACCGAAGGTGTTAAAAACTTCAATTAAAAATATAAACTTGGAAAACAAGTCAGTTATGAGTCGTATGTTAGACTGCACGAATCTCTATTCTGTAAAAATCTCGTTGAAAACTTTTAAAATAATAAAAAGGGACCTAAATGTCGGAATAAATTTCGAAATCTTAATTAGGGTCGTAAATTGCGACGAGGGGCATAAAAAGACTTTAGCGCCTCCGTGCCGAGCACCCAATTTACAGAACGTTTCTTAATTCGAAAGTTTTCCTTCATTTTCAGGGAAATTTGGAGCTCACGGTAAATTCCCGATGGATATACAGGGTGCTACAAATTCGGGGTACGAGCACTGGTATCTCGGTAAACGTAATAGATACGAACTTGGTTAAATTGGGGCAGAGTTGTTGTTTTGGTATGTTCATCAAGATGCCATCAAAAAAGTTTTAAAATTATCAAGGATTGCTGAGTTTTTTGAAAAAATTGATTTTTTTGAAAATCAATTATATTTTTTCCTACCGTTACCTTTTAGAAATTCAAAAAATTAATTGTACATTCTCATAGCCACTTTATTAGGGCTATCTGATAGTATTTTTAGATTTTCAAATTAGCTGATAATTTATGAGACCAACTTAATTTTTTTAAATACGGACCTGCATTTTTTATTCCAGGTTTTGAAAGAACTCGGTCTCCTGAGTACAATGATATGCCACACTTTATACGTTTTTTTTGTTTTGGGTACCTTAACAGCAACAAAACTATTTAATTATTATCTATACTAATATAATATAAAATCCTTAAGTGACCGACACTGATTAATCACGATCCTGCTCAAACCACTCAACGTAAAGGTGCGTATTCATTATCTGAACGAACGAACGAACCAACGAACGAATGAAAGTGCGGTATATTTAGACGGGGACCGAACGCATGCGGCCGTTCGTTCGTTCGTTCGCTCGACCATCCGTTTCGAGTTGGTACATCAAAGGCGTTCGCCAACAAATGCCTCCGGTCTTCTCGTGCGGTTCTATCGTACGGTCCCCGTCCATACCACTAGCGAACATTCGTTCGTTCGTTCGTTCGTTCGTGCGGATAATGAATACGCACCTTTAAGAAGCTCAATTTTGGCATACAGGTTGATTCTAGGGCGCAGAGGTTCGATAAGAAGGGATTTTTCGAAACTCGAATTATAAGGGGGTGAAACTATCCCTCAAATATTAAAATATTTTTTATTTAAAAACCGGTGAGTTTTTCGGAAAAACTCTTAAACACGTATATTTTATTTTGTTGTTTTACATATTTTAAGATTTTTTATAAATTATACAGGGTGTTTCATAAAATATGACCATTGAGTAATCACGATTCTGCTTAAACTGCTTGACGTTTAAAGCTGATTTTTGGCAAACGGATTGACTGTGGGGTGTAGAGGTTCGATAAGTAGGGGTTTCTCGAATCTCAAATTCCAAGAGGGTGAAAACGCCCCTCAAATATTACAATATTTGTTATTTAAAAAACGGTTAGTCTTTTGGGAAAACGCTTGGACAAGAATAATTTATTTTTTTTTTTACATATTTTGAAATTTTTTAAAAAATCATACAGGGTGTTCCAAAATGTTGGGTAATTTCTTAACCACGATTCTGCTTAAACTGCTTGACGTAAAAAGCTTATTTTTGGCAAACGGATTTTTCGAAAGTCAAATTCCAACGAGATGAAACTACCCTTCAAATATTACCAAGTTATATAATAATATCGCCATATTGTTTTTTCTCATGCTGACATAAATGTGAGAAAATTTTATCCAGTTTGTATGTTAATGGAAATTCGTGCTTTGCTTTATCATCACCATTACAAATGACTAATTCGACGCGAACGAAGTCGCTGGTACACGTTAGTAAATATATAAATATATTCCTAATCCTAACACAAGAACGGTAAACCAACAGGATTGCTCATCCTCATAAGACGTACGTTCGCATCTTCCTGCGCTTCAGCAGACAGTTGTGATGTCATTGTAGTCCTTGTCATGATAGTCTGTATTATATTGTTTGCATATAGTAAACGTATAAAAATAACAGCTGAGAAATTTTGTATAAAAATGGTCTTATGAAACTTTGTATAAAAATGGTCTTATGAAATTTGAAGGAAAACTGAAAAAAAATTACCAAATTTTATATAATAATCTTGAAATGTTTACCTAATATTCAGGTTTTTAACAAAAAATAACTTTCGATATATCGGTAAATGTTGATAATATAATATAATAATAATAATTCAGGCAACGGCTTATAAACAGGATTAGTCCATTAAAAGACTACAATGGGCAGGATATTCATTTCAGTTTGCTTAATACTATACGTATAGTTTTGCTTTACGTTTTGTGAATAAATTTACTATTCTGCTGTAAACATTTTATATATGCGCATATATGAAAAGAACGAATGCTAAACCTGAAAGAGAGATTAAATGAGTTTTTACTTTAATCCTTTTATATGTTGCTTTAAAAAGGTCGATATTCGAAACCACATGTTCTCCTATGGCAATTTTTATTTTCTAATAAAAGTTTCGTAATATGTTTTTGCCCTGGGACGTATAGGTACATTAAGACATAAAATATCGAGGTACTTTTGTTTAAAAGTTTAGAGGTAATTCAATTTTATAGGTGGTTAGAAAAAGATACTGATATAACATTTTAGATCTACGAGCATTAACTTTGAAATACAAAAATAAATTCCAATATTGAAGATGTAGCTAAGTACCGGGTGGCCAACTAAGAATGGACGCCGGCTGTATCTCAGAAACTACTTATCGTATAATTTTGGGAAAAAAATTATAATAAGTAAATCGACCAAGAGAAATTCTGGTCTAGGTTACCCGATTTAAACAAACTATAGGGCTCGTTTAAAAGAACTTTTCTTCCTTAATGATCTCCAGTATAAATTTTATTTCCATATTTTTTTTCGTGGTAGCTAGAGGGCGCTGTTTGACATCATAACAGATATTGCGCTTTTGCATAAAAAAATTAAATAGGAGGCTATATTTCTCTTTGTACAGTTAAATAGAGCACAAAATTTCCAAAATATCAGCGCAAACTGCAACTTTATATGTGTCATCCAAAGTGTTTGTAAAAAAAATCAAAGACGTTGTCAATCAAAGAATATGGTTTATTTATTTTTTTTTGTTACAGATCAGCAATGCCCAATATGTCAAAAAGGTATGTAAATTAAATATTATTGTTTAACTTAGTCGAATTTAAATCATATTTTTTTGCAAAATATATATTTTCTTTTATTTAAAAAAGGTACAACCGAAAAAAAACGGCGTCCACTTGGTTCGGAAATGACGATCGATGACATTCCTCATATAATTTTACATATAAAATGACAGCGATCTCAGCGATTTCATAGCCATCACTGACGCCGTTTTTTTCCGATCATTTTGTATTAATTTTTCGCGATTACCTTTTAACCGAAAATTAATAAAATTTCTAATTTTTTTTTCTAAAAATACAAAATTTCATATACAGGGTGGTCCGAACTGTATTCCGGAAACTTCGGCAGCATATTCTGCAGATAAAAATAAGTAAAAAAGTTCGTATAAATGTATGTCCTAAAATGCTTAGTTTCGGAGATACAGGGTGTAGCAGTTTCATTTTTATTTCGATTTTTTCTAAATAATTTCTGAAGTAACGTCAATATTTGGATGAAAATTGGTGTCTGTGAGTTTTGTGATGCGAAAAATTTGATTTTGATGTCAAAATGACTCCTATTTGTAGTGGGCGCCTCCTACATGCGTTTTGATTGTTTTGAAGAGTAATAACTTTTCGTCCGTACCTGTATAAAACTACTGACTAAAAAATATACATTTCCATGACTTGTTACGTAAAAAATGCCTCTTGGTAAAAATCGCTACGAGTAACCGTTCTCAAGATATTTAGAATGAAAATAGTCAATACATGTCATTATTGACAAAAAATAAGCACACGATGAGTATTGTTATTTGACTGAAATAATAAATTTTTATTTTTTTTTAATTAATCATCAATTTTTCTGCGAAAACTTGATGATTAAACAGCTTCTGTTGAACTTTTGGTATAAAACAATTCAAATATATGATTCCAGTCTAATAACTATTTAGTTAACATGTTTAATTTATGTCAATGATGACAGGTATTGATAATTTCAATTCCAAATATCTCGAGAACCATTACTCGTAGCGATTTTTACCAAGAGACCTTTTTTATGTAGAAAAAGTTGTAAATGTATATTTTTTTACTCAGTAGTTTTATACAGGTATGGACGAAAAGTTATTACTCTTCAAACCAGTTAAAACATATGTAGGTGGCGCCCTCTACAAGTAGGAGTCATATTGACATGAAAATCAAATTTCTGATGGCAAAAAACTGAGATAGACGCCAATTTTCATCCAAATATTGATGTTACTTTATGAATTATTTGAAAAAAATCGAAATAAAAATGAAACTTCTACACCCTGTATCTCCAAAACTAAGCATTTTAGGACATACATTTATACGAACTTTTTTACTTATTTTTATCTGAAGAATATGCTGCTGAAGTTTCCGGAATACAGTTCGTACCACCCTCTATTACATACTATATTCTCATAGATGTGTTCCTGGAATCGCAATAGACAACATTTAAAAATATGTGCACTTATTTAAGACTCATCCTGTAAAGTAACTGTAATTCTAAGGGTATAGCGTAACTGGTGTAACGAGCATTTATTGCACCCTGTAATTGAAATTATAAGGGTGAAATAAATGTTCGTTCATAATGAAATTTATAATATAATTTCCTTTTCAAATATCTGGATTTAGAAGAAAGTTGTCTGTTTAAACTTTAACTTTTTAAATGTTTAATATCATTGAATTATCTTAAATATAAAGAAAATAGTATATTAAAGAAACTACACTAAAGTAGTACATAAAAGAGAACTAGAAGCACAAATTAACGCTAAATACAGCCAGCAATAAAATGGGTCTTAAAATGAACTTATCAAAAACTAAAGTATTGTACAACGAACTAGTGGACACAAAAGATATTCTAATAAATAACACAACACTGGAAATAGTAGAAGAATACATATATTTGGGACAACTAATATACAACTCGGAATCTCTACTACCAGAAATCAACAGAAGAATTAAGTTAGCAACTTATGGAAGAAACTCAATCATATTCAAATCTAGAATGCCACTTTATCTAAAGAACAAAACGTTCGACCAATGTGTACTACCAGTGATGACCTATGCATGGGACACCTGGACATTTAAAACGGACATCATTAGGAAACTGCAGGTCGCACAACGCTCAAAGGAACGAAATATTCTGGAATGACTAAGAGAGACCGTAAAAGAATAGAGTGGATACGACAAAAGACCTAGGTAATAGATGTCACCCACAGAGTCAAATCCCTCAAGTGGCAATGGGCAGTACACCTGGCAAGAAGGACGAACAACAGAGGTACCACAAAAATTACAACATGGTACCCACGAGGAATTAAGACAAGATAAATTAGCAGGGATAACTTGGGCCCGCATAGCCACAATAGACAACAATACCCCAACTCTAATAAGAGAGCATATGTGACGGAGGCTACACCATAATTGGAGATGGTTGAATAAACTGAAAATGATGATGATGATGATATTAAGTTATTCTCACTTATCAAATCCTAAATCATCGAAAAAAATGAGATCGAGACAAAATACCCAATTTAAAAAGAATACCGTGTAATAAATAAGTAAGTAATAAGCTTTACATCCATTTATTACCCGCAGCAATTTTTCCGACAGGTGCAAAATTACGAAAAAATTTAAATGTTTTTTCCGGCAGATTTGCGTGTTCCGTTTTGTTATTTTTCTTGCTTCCCTCCATTGAGGAATATAACAAGCCGCGATCATCGCGATGAAAGCATCGTTATGACGGGCAATTAATTATATTTTCGAAAAAGTTTACGCCGATTGCTTTATTTACATAGAAGAGGGAACGGCGCGGCGGGTGCTTTTTGAGGAGGTTCAGAAAGAGTTAGCCTTTTTTTGTGCAGTATAATACGTATAGAAAAGGTTTATAAAGACAAAATGTGTATTTAAAGGAGTTTCAAAGCATTTTTTAATAGAGTAATGGTTTTAAATTAAACTGTAGTAACAGTTATATCAGAATTTATACGAAAATTACGCATTTTTAAGAATTCATTGTTGTAGTCTAAAACAGCTTCTACACTATGCGAAGAACTCTTCGAAGTTTTCCAGTTTTTTTGACCCACTTCGGTTTGCCTCGACCTACTTTCGATTCTTAAAAGCGCCTGAAACTACTCGTGAGGAGGGCGTGGGGGATTTTTTTTTGGCGTTTCCTGTTGCCTCGTTCAATTTTGTTTCGTTTCGAGCTATTTCTAAAACGTGGCGGTATTTGTACCCGAGACAAAGGACTTTTTTTTAATAAATTTCAGTGAAATAAGTAACCTAGACGTTTCTAAAATAGCTGTTGTTGTCACGATGATATTTCGTTAATTACATCTCGTTTTATGTTGATATACTCGTATATTGCACAGGATTAATATTTGAACAAGCGTTTATAATATATAGAGTAGATATTTAAGAACAATACTTTTCACTCAATATGCAGGAATATAATTACAATATGTTTATTATTTAATTTTATTATAATTAATTAGTATATAAAACTGTATGTTATGTTTGTTTACGCGGCCTTAATTGATTAATATATCAGTAGTATTGCTTGATGAGTAATACTGGCATCAATATATCGAGCTGATTGGGAAAATTATTGATTGATCCGATGTCAATAAAAGATACTTTCATATACCGAGTGCGTCTCAAAAGTGGCTCACCACTATAACTTTTTTATTTTTTTAGATAAAAAATCGAGATTTGGTATATTAATAAATGACATAAATCAGGATTGATCGACGTATTCAATTGTTTTCTTTCACTTCCTATTTCACCGGAAATGGCTACAACTTTTAATTTTTAAATGGTACCACCGGCATTTTTTTTATTTTATTCGATAGATAATGACACTGATTAGAATGACATATATGTCGGCTTTTGACATTTTCGAATATGGTTGATTTGAAATTGCAACATACGATTCATAACGACAATTTGACTCGAAATACCAAGTGTGTGGTATCAAATTATTCGTAAAAAAGGCTTTTGCTAAATATGCTAATGAGCCACCCTCGTTCCATTTGAAAAAATTGAGATATGATTATAATACGATTTGGGCATCTTTTAACCGGCCAGGACAAGATACGAATAATATTAGACGATCAAATCTATTTTCCAAGGCTCCTTGATTAGAAATTAGTGTTTTTAACACATCCATGGCACTCTAGATTGAAATTTAAAATTACATTTTGTTTTAAGTAAAAATGTCAAAAGTTCACATATTATGTCATTCTATTCAGAATGTCATTTTCTATCGAATAAAGTAAAAAAATACGGAGGGTGCCATTTAAAAATCAAAAGTTGTAGTCATTTCCGGTGAAATAGGAAGTGGCTAAAAAGAATTGAATACGTCAATCAATCCTAATTTATGTCATATACCAACATACCAAATCTCGTTTTTATATCTGATAAAATAAAAAAGTTATAGGGGTGAGCCACTTTTGAGGCGCACCCGGTATAATAATAACATGGCGGAATTCCATTCAAAAATAAGCAGTAATTAGACGATTTTTTAAATAGTTTAACACCATGACCATAACCTATAAAAGGCGGACCGCCAGAACAGTTGTTGGTCACTGCGTATTGCCCTCCAGTTTTACGATTTTGAGTTTTGAAATATATTTTTTTACTATATTGTAATTAATAATGTTAGACAATGATTAAAACTAAATATTCTTGTATAACTTTAGAGGCCAATTTAATCGAAAAAAAAACGGCATCTAGCTGGATTCGAAATGAACATCAATGACATTTTCTATATAATTTTATATATAAAATGACAGTCTTCATTTTATAGCCATCTTTTTTCGATTATGCCGTTTTTGACGCCGTTTTTTCGATTATACAGTATTTTTATCTTAAAAAATATAGTCTAAAAAGTGACTTAGAAGTAGTGATAAGCGAAATTGGTCTTGATCTTTGGCATGTAGAAAATCAAAATCAATACTATGACTAGCGTCAAATCTACAAGACCAAGATCAATAGCGAAGAGGTAAAGACTTAGC